TATTGAGATTGGTTTAAGGGTGCAACGAGGACGTTGCGATCCTAAGTGGGGGTGATTGTAATACCCGAGATTAATTTAAGAGGATTAATAGTACTACTCATACCAACAGACTAAGCATTTTAGGGGGAGCATTTTACACTGACTAAGCAAGGAATCTCTCAACGGATGCAACATTTTAGGGGGAGTGTTAAATGTTATCCTCCCCGGTGCCTAAAGTGACAAAGCATACCGAGTGCCCCAGTTGAGGGGGAGTACATAGAGAAAATGAAGAAAGTAATGAGAGAACATGTTCCTATGGCTTAGTAAACCCAACTAAGTCTACCCAAAGGACAAAGCCGGGCGTAAGTGAGTGAGTGAGCAAGTGAGTGAGTGAAAATTATGAGCATTAGGAAGCAGAAGGCTCAAGTGAGCAAGGAAACAATTATCACTGATAAGTCTGCTACCTTAAGTGCCTACTATCCATTGAACATTTACTCCTGACCACTCAAATACTCTGGACAATCCCCATAGGTTTAGGACAGATTTAATCAGATCCCGGGTAGAAGTCACTGCATCTTGTCCAACAGTGCATGCTTAACCCTACCCAAGACCACTCACTTGTCTCCCAACAGACAGGTGTTTAATCACATTTCACGGGGAACCTCATCTCTCATTATTGTCTCCTTCCGAGGTAAGTGATACTGACTACAGTGGCCTCAGCCCCATGCCACTGAACTTTCATTGATCACGTCGTGTCTAGTTACTCACTCCCAAATGTTTTGAAATTTTCTAGGACACAGACGCACTTTTTGAGTCAGTTGAAGGTCTTCAAGACCCGCGAGAACTTCCATAGGGCTCATCTATTACAGATGTAGACCAATGATTGGAAGGAAGTCCTGCTGATGCAACATAAGAATCACCATCATTTTCAGGCCATCACGTCAGAGTTTAACTCTATAGTGATGATAACGGGTGTCTACACGACCCCGTGGGGCTACATTATCTTCTTTACATTCTGCTTGTTTTTCATGTTTTATTTCCGCAGAATAAAAGAATAAAGGCATGACGCCCCGATTCATCGGATCGTCATGAGGGGGAGAGTGGTCCACATGCTGTTAACTATCAAAAAAATCATTTTGGGACACTCCTCTCCTCCAACACTCTCTCTACTATCTCCGCAACTCAAATGGTCAGCTACGCTCACAAGTCAACCATCATTATGTTCCGCTGTGCCACAGACAAGTTCTCCTCAAATGCATTCATTCCAAATAGTAAAAAAGACTACATTGTGGAGGAGAAAGAGGTCAAATACTCGTGTACTGAAGATGAATCCCGTGCGCGCTCCCTATTCTTCAAAGAACATTCATTCTAGAGGCGTCACCGGACTTCATCCAAGCTGATCAAGAGCAACTTCTGGAAGGCAAGGACTACATGCAAGATACTGAAGATCCCTCAACCCCCGACATCAAAGAACAAATTGCCAAGAAGACATCAAATGGGAGATTGCAAGGATTTCTTCATCCTCAGAAGTCAAGTTCAAAGACAAAGGAAACCGAATAACAACAAAGACAAAGATATCTGCGCTGCAATGCTGATTCAACACGATTGAACACCAAGGGGGAGATTGTTAGGAATATTTTATGGTGTCCAATCTAATTAAATATCTTTGTATTTGTGTAGTTATTAATTAAACGTGTAATACGGGCCACAAATGTGTATCAGCCTGTTAGCTTTCTTGTAACCCGTAAATTAGCCAACTTCTCCTATAAAAGGAGGCTAACTTACGGGAATCCTAAAATGTTTTGAGGCTTTGAGAGATGCAGAGGCGAGATAGAGAGAGAGAGTAGGTTTTCCGCTGCTCTCCTTCTCCAGGGAGAGCAGCGGCTGTTTATCACGGGATACCAGATTCGGTTTTTCAGATTCGGTTTTTCATCTCATAATCTTCTATCTGCTTCTTCATAACTGCTATGGTTGTTTGATTGTTTAAATTTTGGGTTTATCAACGCCCCTAGCTAATGTCCGTTTTTTACACAAGGAAAGTAGAAATAAAGTAGTATAATTACTTCATCTTTTCTTTTTCTATTATTTGGGTCGATGCAAAAGTATGATGCATTCCACATATCAATCTTATCGCATATCATCAATGTCCATTTCTTGATGATCATTGATTGAAGCTATTTTAAGACCTTATGTTATATCATATAAGCTCTCACTTACTTATTGACAAAGTCCAAAGGAACATAATTATGAATATGACATTGACAATCGAAATACTTAATCATCAATGTGTAATACCGTATGTATCAAATATATAAAACTAAATATGATCAAGTACATATATCTCTAAAAAGTGATTGTCGCTAGGACATACACACTAACGGAGTATTGCACACGTTCTTACATTTTTGCTGCATATTTAAAACAATTAATGACGACTATTATTTTACATTCACATTAGAATTAGTATTGATAATTTTAAGGTATTCTTTATATTACAATTAATAATTTTCATTCACACAATGAGTTGTTATTTTTTCAATTGTCAATAAATTCTTAAAATTAAATTTTAACACAAGAAACAATGGAAACATGGTCATACACTTTATTTATGAATGCCATGCAAACTTTAACACAAGATACAATAATAGAATTATGTATTTAACACTCTTCTCTTATTTCATTTCTACTCATATACCAACTGCATCTCTATCTACTTCTTATCTATCTACTTCTTAGCCATTTAGCAAACACATGTTATGATATATCAAACCCGTTGTGGCATAATAATGATAATAATATAGGCTATGAATAGTGAGAACTGGGCCGTCCTCAGGAGTGCAATTTTGTTCACCCCTTTAAGGAGGGTGAACATAACCTCCTTCTCATTTGTTGCCATGTGGCTTGTTATCCCCTTTTTTATTAATTTAAAAGCATTGCCATGGCATGTGGCAGCCCAATAGGGGTGGGGGTGATGTTCACCCTCTTTTGAGGTGGTGAACAAAATTATATTCCGTCCTCAGTACCAGACAAAAGAGAATAGCACTAGTTATACAAACAAAAAGAATAAACAAACCAATTACAAAACATACACTCCCCATAACTGATAAAACTTCCCATGTTGAATATTCTTAGTCAATGATGGACAAATTTACCTTATGATAATAGTTAATACGTATATAGTTTTTTAAAATATGAAAGTTTATTTTAAAATATTAAATTTTTTTTGAAATAGAGACATGTGAAAAAATCTTAATTTGTATTTTTATATTATTAAATTTACTTCTATATAAGTAATGCTACAATTTTTAGAGAAGCTGTTTTTATGTTTTTCATTAACTAAGATACATTTTCTATTTAAATTGTCCAAAAAATATGAATACTTTCATAAATTCAATCCACTGGCTAACTTTTAACTTTATCACTTTATCCTTTATACATCATCTTGTTTTTTTTATCTTTTGAAGGTCAAAATTGTAAAACATCTATGTTATCTTTATTCTTTTAAAATCAATGCCAAAATCATCCGCATCAAACATTATGAAACAAAGTGTATACTATGAAGTATGATTTAGATAAATAATCTCCCGCAATTTAACTCATTTATCTATGTTTTTGAAACAATGGCATGTGGGAAACTTTAAACTTATATAGCTTCTAGGTTGAGACTTTTCTTTTGTATTATGTATTATATTGTATTATTTAATAAACATAACATGTGTGTTATATAGCAAGTTGGGAGTTATTAAGAGCCATTTGATATAAATAATGAAGTTTAAAAAGGTACACCACCCTATTTTAAGTAATTTTTCATAAATTCACATTACTATTCAATATTTGTAGTAATTATAATAATAACTTTCATAATAATAATTCATGTTCAATTTTTACATTTAAATGACAAATAAGGGACAATGACTACAATCATACTAACTTTTAGAGCATGTTTGGTAGCCTAGTTTTTAGGCTTACCAAATTTATTAGTCAACTTTTTCATCAAACACGTAATTTTTAACTTTGCGCGCTAAATATACCAACAACAATAAAAATCTGCAGTAGATAGGTTTCAAGAAGTTGCTATATGACTGTATCATAACTTTATTCAAGAACTTATACAGATGTAAATATGATGAATTAACATAAAGAATCAAATTTCATCAAACAAAGTTTAACACAATAATGTAGTTTAAGAAAATAAATATATTTTCAAGATATAAGCTGCAATTTATGAGGTTGTGCCTTGTCAAAATTAAGAGACATCCTTGAAAAAAATGACTCCTTGAATTGAGAATTATGAATTTTTCTCCGTCAATTTGAATAATTTCTGAATTCTTCTCCCTCAATTTGAATAAGTTCTGAACTCTTCTCCCTCAATTTGAATAATTTCAAAAATTAAAATGGGAAAAAAGCCTAGTTCTTCCGGAACAACATAACAAACTAAAAAAACATAACAACAAACTCAGTTACTCAACTCAATATAGGAAACTTCAAGCGCTGGTCGAAGCCTTCTTTTATCTGAGAAGAAGTTTAGAGGCTATTTTATAGCTTAAGGAGAAACTCTACAATATAAGAACAAAAAAACATAAACCTAGTTGAGAGGAAATACCGAAGGGAATGAGTAGGGGATGATAGCCTTTGCTGCCTAGCTCAGATAGTCGAAGCTCGCAAGTTTGTTCAGAGCTTTGTGATGTTGGCGCGATATGGCTTGGAGAAGCGATGAAGTATCGAGAAGCCAGGGTTAAAAATGAAACTCCTCCCACGCTGATACGTCTGAAGCGGAAGGATAACTAAATTCTGGCTGAGCGAATAAGTCACAAATCGTCTGACCGAATAAGTCAATATTATTGTTAAGTCACAAGTAAACAAGGTTATATAGCTGAACGATTAAGTTGTATGTTCAATTGAGTAGTAAGTAAACTGAGCCTTAATCTTATTGTTATAGATAGACAAGTTTTATTTTACCGGAATAGTATATCATCATTATCCCATAACTAACAATTACGGAGTACTTTTAAAGTTTTAAGCTGAGATATATAGGCGTGTTTTAAACGCGTAGACGTTTTGGTGGTAGGCGGAGAAAGAAACTGTAGACGTTTTTTCTCTTTGGGTCTGAACGCTTGTGAATACAAGTCAAGGGCCAGGGGAGAAGACGGAGACGCATCAACTAAAAACCCAAACTGCCATTGCTAGTAAACTTCTCCTTCTCCTTTCTTTCTTTCTATCCGTTCTTGATTTGGTCAGAATTACTACCAAAGTTCTGAGATTGGAATTGCTCGCTCTCATTTCAGATTAGCCCATTGAACCCCCGAACCCTCTTTTCTCTCCGGTGGCTGATCGGAAAACTCCTTGCGGCGGGTTTTCTTGCAATCGAACCACGTGAGGCCTCTCAAAACGTTTTCCCAGCTTTCTTTAACTTTGTTTAGTATTCTTGTACCTTTCTTGATTATGGATCACGTTGCTTGTCTTCAGTCTTTCACTCTGATTATTTGGCATAATTAATTGAGATGAGATGTTTCTTTAGTTCATGTATGTTTTCTTGTGAAATTTCGTTTGTTTGATTGAGGGTGAACTGGATCCACCTAATTGTGGACTCGACTGGTTAGGGTGATGTTTGGCGACTGCTAGTAGTTGATTTGCACGAAGATGACTTCCCTTGATGTTTTTGAACTTTTTTCTGTTTCTGTAATGTATAGGTGTAGTGTAACACAAATTAGCCTGAGTCTTATTTCCATTTGGTAAAGTGAAAGTGAAATGTTTACCAATAGTTTTCTGTAACTTCTTTGAAATTGACATGACTAATGCAGAACCTGTTAAAAAGTGAAAGGAAACTACCACCATGAGTTGCTTTGGGTGTTGCATTCATGAAGATGACATGCAAAGGATTCCTGACAATAATGGAAAGTACATGACTCATAGCTCAGCAGGTTTTTCCCCTTTCTCATCTTAGGGTCCATTTTGGAACCTGGAAAATACTAGAGAAAGTCAATAGAGAAAAAAATGTGGAGCAAGATCCCAAGCAAAGGTTTTATGGAAAAAACAAAGGATACACTCAAACTGAATATATTTGCATCTGATATTTTCATCTCGCTTTAATTCTTTATTATTTCTATTATATAAACATCAAAAAAATATTTGTGTAATTTTTTTTATATATTCGTAGTATTAATGATACTGCATTTTCATTTTCCTTCTCTAGCGTTTTCCTTGGTACACAACATGCCTATAATCATCATCATTACTCCAGTGCCACAAAGGCTCCCACCAATGGTGGGGTAGGGGGTTAGGTGTACGAAGTCTTACCCCTGTAATGAAATCATGTCAAAAATTGCATGGGCTGATTGCCTCTTCAAGTCTTCATAACAAAGGAGCGCAGACAGTTTAATGAGCCATTTTGCTTTATTCCATCGTATTCCCAAGACAAAAAATAGTGAGTCTTTGGCTCCATTGCAAATGATGAAAGCATACACAGCATGCCTTTATTCTTTTAAATTTTTTCTTAGCCTTCACAATTAAGTTTAGAGAACCAATATTGGATGGATCAAAATCAAAGAAAACTCATTGGAACTTTAAAAATGTAGGCCCTACGGGTCAACATGCTACTGAAAGTGCACAAAGAGAAACACAGCCTGTAAACCTCCTCCCTATCACTGTCCCTGCCATCTCAATTGATGAGCTGAAAAAAGTCACAGACAATTTTGGTACAAGGGTTTTGATTGGTGAGGGGTCATATGGAAGAGTATATTATGGTATTCTTGAAAGTGGACGAGCTGCAGCCATAAAAAAGCTGGATTCCAGTAAGCAGCCTGATCGGGAGTTTTTAGGACAGGTAATTGCTATAGACAAATGTCTCATATCATACATACACGTGCATGGAATTCAAATTGAAAATACACGATGTTTCAGGTTTCGATGGTGTCAAGACTTAAACATGACAATGTGGTTGAGCTACTGGGCTATTGTGTGGACAGTGGTGCTCGTATATTAGCCTACGAGTTTGCTCCAAATGGATCTCTTCATGATATTCTTCATGGTAAGTTATCTCAGTCACAGTGTATTTGTTCATCAGAGAAAGGGAGGGGGAGGGATTTTAACTCTCTAGCTTGTTTGTAACAAGAGGAGAGTAAAAGGGAAATAGTGATATATTGACCAAATTACCATTACTATCTTATTTAATAAAAATGAAAATTTCACTCGATCGCTAATTACAATATTTTATTCCATCTCTAAATAATCTTCTCACTTTCTTTCTTGTCCAAAATTTTCACTCATTTTCTTTTAAGGAAAACAATTGAGGGTTCTCATTATTGCTCTATTCTTAGTACATCTCAATCATTAAATTTTCTGAGATCTCATACCTGGTAAAAGTGTTTATATAAGGATTCCTGGAGTACAAATATACCATATTTGTTTAGAGGAAACATTTAAATATATGATACATTATTATATATGTTTATAATATACTTAACTCTAGATTTATTTTAAAAGTATTTGATTACAAATTACTGAAATATAACTACAAATAATTATGCTTATTCATCTCCAGAGTTACAACATAATCAGGAGGGAAAAGATATGCTCAGACACAAAGTGGGAAGAAAGACATATCATACAACACAACTGAAAATGAATTTATTTGCTAGAGTGTATAACTTTAGTCCAAGAGAGCAAAAAATATTGATTTTCCTTCCAAGTTCCCCATATTTTAGGGTATCTGTTTGAGGGGAAGGGAGGGGAGGGGAAATTTCAAAATATATTTCCCTCATGACGTACTCTTATATGTGCTTGTTATTGCTAGTATGCATATTCATGTAGATTTTTTATGTAATATGGTTAACATGTACCTTCCTCGAGGCTTCGTTTCACGTTATCAAATGACCCTCAAGGTTTAGGGTATGTTTGGCACAACTAGCTGAAAAGATACTTTTATTAGCTTTTTTGTAACTGTTAGCTTTTAGTGACTGATAAGATCTTAAAAGAAAAAGGTGGTAGCTGTTTAATAAAAAGTTGAGTGTTTGATTTAGTTCTGTTTGGTATACAAGCCGTTGGGAGTATTTGATGCTGAAAGCTACTCACTGTAGCATCTCCAAAAAGATCTTTTATTTTTATAAAAGCTCTTAAAAATTGACATGCCAAACATACAACTAGAAGCTTTTAAAGACTTTTGAAATAGTACAAAAGCTAGAAGTCATGGACTTATCCGTGCCAAACATAGCCTTATTAAAATTTCTAATAAGCTCCCCTGACCAGCTCAAATGCTCTGCAAGCAGCATAGAAAGATGATAGGATCATAAGATGTAATAATAAAGATATTAGTAGGAATTGAGTTTTGTTTGGAGGACTCCTTCAATATATGTCCTGAAGATTCTTTTGGTGAAAGCTTTAAGTAATGAATTTTTCCCTAAAATATTACTTCAAATAAAATTTGGACAAAACTTCTACTAAAGTTACTATTAGTATACATTCATGGTCACTAAGGCGCAAAATTGAACATAATTGTAGTCACTCAAAGTTACTTTTATGGTCACTATGTATAATTTGTCACATTTTTGTTCACTGTCTTTGTTTTAGTCATATACTACGTATTAGTCATTATTCTTAAATAATTTAGCAGATGTAAAATGCATCAGGAACACCACTTCAATATGGAAATGCAAATTCTTCTTAATTTCATTTAAGTTCTATAATTGATCAATGATAAAAGGGTCATATGCGAAAAAACTAACTGCAAAAAGTATTAATTGTATCTGTTTCCGCAGGGCGGAAAGGTGTGAAAGATGCACAGCCTGGTCCTGTGCTGACGTGGGCCCAAAGAGTAAAAATTGCAGTTGGGGCTGCTAGGGGACTTGAATACTTGCATGAAAAGGCCCAACCTCATACTATTCACCGTGATATTAAATCTAGCAATGTTTTGCTCTTTGATGACCATGTTGCTAAGATTGCCGACTTTGATTTATCAAATCAAGCCCCTGATATGGCAGCACGCCTTCATTCCACTCGTGTTCTTGGGACTTTTGGTTATCATGCACCCGAGTAAGTCACTTCATTCGTAGATCTATTATGTTTATCTATGGATAACTTCATTAGTTCTAATACAGATTTAGTGATTTGGACTGACTGCACGAGAGTGATTGGTGATTACTCAGCCATGCATTAGTAAAATTTAAAACACACATGCTATCTTACTCTACTAGTACCGATCTTGTAAGTCTTACACACTCACACGTAAAGCGAAGCATAATCACCCACAATAACCAGCATAGTTCATATTGCATTTAAAGAAGTTCACGTTGTCTAACCAATCCTGTCTTTTTGTATCTCAAATTAATCATCTGATTCAAGAACAGCATTATCTTCATTCCATGTCCACAAACACATCTTGAAAAATGTTTTTTTAAATGAATTCAATTTTTCACATTTGACCACAGCCGAGTTACTTGCTGAGTACTCGCCAAGTAACTGGGTTCTTTGAATCAGACTGACTAGGCAGACACTCACCGATTAATTAACATGACTTATTTCCGTAACTTAGACTCCCAATTGTTTAACATTATGTAAGTTGTCTTTCAGATTTTATAACGTTAGTCCCTCAATTGTTAAATTTGAGATTTACGTAATTAAACTCTCTTATAAAAAGTATTGAGGCTTATGAGTGCATTATTGGCAATATAGAATGTCGAGGATGTCCCCATAAGCCCTTGTGTTTAAAGGGGTGAGCAGTTATTTTAACAGAATGGACCAATTATATCCAGATTATAACAATTGAGGGACTAAATTTACAAAAATTCAAAGACACATCCCAAGTTACATGATATCTAACAACTGAGGGACTAAGTCCATTTTCTGTTTTGACCTTAAGCTGGTCTCATTTGTTTGGTCTTGAATGACAGATATGCAATGACTGGTCAATTGACTTCCAAGAGTGATGTTTATAGTTTTGGGGTCGTTCTTCTTGAACTTCTAACTGGACGCAAACCTGTTGATCATACTTTGCCTCGTGGACAACAAAGTCTTGTAACATGGGTATGCATTTCTTCTTGAATTGCATTATTTAGAAATAGGTGACCTCACAGCAAGACCGGGCCAAAATGCAATACTTTTAAAGTTGAGAGTAATACTCAAAAACACAAGTTTTTAAAAAGTATATGCTCAATAACTATTATATTTTGACCACGTCTTGCACAAGAAGTTGGTTATAGGGAATTGATTTTTCATTGAATACATCTAATTTGTTATTGCACTTGAAAATTTGAAATTGGAATCAGGCAACACCAAGGTTGAGTGAAGACAAAGTGAAACAGTGTGTTGATGGTAGACTGAATCAAGAAGAGTACCCTCCAAAGGCTGTAGCGAAGGTACTTGTAATGCTTTGCTTTGTCAGTGTATTAATCACGTATCCTTCACCACAATCCCTAGGCCTATATTTGTACGTTTTGCCAAGACAATCACCAGAAACCCTCCCCGGGATTGAAAAAATAAATGGGGGAGGGGGTCCACAACATTTTCCACCATTGAAGTGGAGCGTTTTAGGACACTCTTCTCAAGAGACCCCCTAGCGATTTTCAATACTTAGAGTGAAAAGTTTTTGGGTTCGTTTTGTCTTTTCCATTACTATGCTTTAGTTTTTATTATGAATACATATGCTTTATACGGGAAGCTCTATATATTTTACAGCAGTGTAAAAATTCAAAACATGTACTGGGCATTTGAAAAACGATGAAAGCAAGAAATTCATGTCATCAATTATTTCCAAAGTTGTACTACGTATGTTTTTGTTTTGAGAGACTGAAAACAAAAACACTAATGTCAAACCCATGCACATTTCCTTGTTGGTATTTAAAAAAACATAACCAAATGACACTATACATCTCATCTTAATTCTGATACGAAATTTATGAACTTTTGTCGTTATTTTTTTCTACATTCTACGAGGATCGCATAACCTCAAAGACCTCTCTGATGTAAATTTATCTAAACAGATGGCAGCAGTTGCTGCCTTGTGTGTGCAATATGAAGCTGACTTCCGACCAAACATGAGCATTGTGGTAAAAGCTCTTCAACCTCTATTGAATCCCCGAACGGGGCCTCCGGTTGAGCGACAGAACTTGTGAATTCTCTTTCTTTACCCCCCCCCCCCCCATGCCTTAAAGGTCCAGGTTATTGTCGTGTACTGTTCTAAAAACATATGAATCGAAGGATGATTCAAATGCTGTGTCATTCATGTGGGTTTTGGTTTCTTTTCGCCATTTTTATGCATATAATCGTTATGTAGATGAAATGACCATAATTGTATTGTATTTTTTATCAAACAAAACAATAATATTTCAACTGAGCATTAACCCTTTACTTTCAGTATAGAAGTATTTTTTACTCCGTGCAATGGAGCCAAAGATTCACTATTTTTTGGCTTGAGAATATGATGGAATAAAGCAAAATGACTCACTTAACTGTCTGCGCTTCTTTGTTACGAAGCAGCAGACAATCTATGCAATTTTGGACGTGATTTTCACTATGGGTCATCCGGAAACAGTCTTTCTGTGTTTTAGTACAGGGGTAAGATTACGTACATCCGACTCCTCTTACCATATCGTAGATTATGACAATGTGTATCTGAGCATGGACCCTTTATTTTTTCACTATCCCTTCATAAAAGAGCAAATAATCTTCATGTCAACAATCTATATAATAAATGTTTATTACTACGTAGTATGTTTTTTTCAAAGACTCGTCACACATAGGGATGGACCTAGTCCAACCCCGTTTTGTTCTCAGACCAACCCGAAATATTACGGATCGCTGTCGTGGTGCGGTCTATCAGGCCGGTCTTGGGCTGATTCAGGTCCTATTTATTTATTTTTTTAAAAATGAAATTTTACACATTAAATAATGAAATGATATTTATTTCAACACTACGTTGACTCAGAGTACTAACACATTTATAAATTACAATTGAGACTAGTTTAAACTTTAAAATTTAAATACATGAACGAATTATCAGAACCGCTTTCTAGCGTCGGTTGTCGTTTCTTCCATAAAAATGAAATGGCTAACTTCTTATGTTTTATGACGGGCCTTTAACTGATTATAGAAGCAAATTAGCATGTCAAGAGATCAAATGTTCAGTCTCGTTCTAAAAGGCTACAAGAGGTCCATGAAGCAATCAACCACCCCTCGGGTGGGCCACGAGAAGCCATGGAATCCTACAACACAAAGAATGGGTTACTGACATACTCCCTCCGTCCCGGTCATTTCTTCCAGTTTTGACCGATATCGCAAATTTAGGTAGTGAGAATAAAGTGAAAATGTATGGTTGTAGTCAGTGGCGGACCCAGAAAGTCAGAGCCACGGGGTCCCTACCCTTTTATATCTCTAATCTCTGATTAATACAAGTATGAAACTAATAAAAAATTGATCCAATTCTTCATTTACTAATAGGGAATCATTTGAATTAACACTTGAACTACGCCTGGTACTCTAGGTTTCTTTAAAATCGGGTACAACATCAAAATATCTTTTCATCCTAAATCGTATAAAATTGAAAATAACATTTATAAATACATGAATTTATTAATTTAATCTAACATTAAAAAAAGATATGCAAAGAAAAAGAGTAGAGAAAAAAAACCTAGGCGACTGATGTGCTTAATTATATTTTACACACTTTTTAGGCTTAGTCTATTGATAATTTTAGTTATTAAAGTTGTACTTTTGTACATATTTTTATTATTTGTCGTTAATTTGTATTAGTGCAGTCCTATGCGTGTATTTTGTATTTTCTGGTACATTTGATGTTATTTGGATATATTTAGCGTGAAGAAATGAAGAAAATAAAAGTTCAAGTTGAAGGATAACAAAAGCGAAATTTCCTTCAAATAAAATAATGAGTAAATTAGAGAAAAGTAGCAAAAATTAAGAAAGGTGAAAATGAGATTCGAGAACTAGTCATTTGAACAAAGAAGGACATACTCAACCAATGAGCTAAATGAACCAAGTTGAAGTTTTTGTTTAAAATTTGAATACATTGTTGAAGTCCAGCACTAAGAAAAGAAATAAAAGGAAGATGTCAAGTTTCGAACCCGCGAAACTCATACTTTGAATGAGCACCCGTCACCGCTGCACTGCTCCGTTCTTTGGATTCTAATGTAGTTTTTTGTATAAATATATATTGAATAATTAATTTTATATAATATATATAATATATAGAGGTATTTTTTTCGAGGTGCACGAGGTTCTGGGACCTCGTGGGACCCTTGATGGGTCCGCCTCTGGTTGTAGTTGTGTAAGAAAAAGGTGAGTGAATGTTAACCACCTATTTTTTTCAAAAGTGAAAGTTGAAAGAATTAATTGGGACTATCCAAAAAAGAAAATTGGAAGAAATGACCGGGACGGAGGGAGTATATGATTCAAATATTAATACAATATACACTTCTCTATATACTGCTAGTAGTATTCAGGCGTAGGTATGAGTGAATGAAATGTGAAAGAAAGGTTGGTTGCTTGACTCTTTCTTTATTGGTTATATTTTCTACTAAGCTTAATGATAGGAATTAAATGGCGATTGACAGAGTAAACACGGCTGTATATTTACGATGTATTGATCCCAACACGGTGTAATTTAATCTAAAAATACACCCTATAAATGTTTGTAATTCTTTTCTTTGCCTTCAATCTTCAATTCTTTTATGCTACATCAAAATGCTACAAATTAAATTGTCTTTTTCTCCATTTCACAATATTTTTGGCAATTTTTTTTTATATTCATACACTTTTTTGTAGTATATGATTTACATTTTCATACGTACGAGTTCCATATTTAGTCCTTCAACTTTCATAAAAGTTACACTTTTGATCCTTCAACTATTATAATAGTGACATTTTTAGTCCTACACTTATTGTGTCAATACTTAGGTACTAAATGTGAGAAATCTTGAAGTGGGAGACCAAAAAGTGTGGCTCGACAAACCAGTGACTTCGCGGCCTCAGCCCCGCTAGTGACACCACCGCCTCTGCCCGGTCAGTGGCAACCCACCGACACAATTCCCAACACCCAACCATTCTTGTCAGCCTACTCACCCCGATCCCCCACCACACTATGTCCATGCCCCACCAAGCAACCAACACCACCATGACCCGCCAGTCTTGTCACCGTCCCTTCTAACACCCTGCTGCCACTGCCTCCTTCTCTAACCATAGTCATCGCCTCTGCCCTTCACGCGCCATCTCGCCGCATGCTCTCCATAAGCCACTGGTTTGATACCAGTTAGGCTTATATATCAAATTTTTATTAAATTTATATTTTTTTATCAGTCATTGTAGTATTTTTAATGTAGTTTCTCAATATGTAAATTTTATTCACTAAAAGTAATCTGAATATGAACAAGGATCGAGTTGCTTTATCGTCGATCAAACATCGTAATCCGAAATGGGAAGTTAATTTTGGTACGGAGGTAGTAATGCTATTATGAATATTTCTGATTTCATCCGATGTTTCTAATTTCAACGTATGAAATCAAATATAATCTCAATATGTCCCAAGTCGAGCTGAGCTGTCACATCCCATGTATGAATGGCCTGGTATGTATAGAGGAAAATAAAGATACTCCGTATAAGTTTAGGATTTTTTTGTGAACATAGGCCAACATCTTCCTTGACTTTTTTTGTTCTGAAAATCAAATAATCATTATTAAACATCTTTCCTTGACTTTAATCCTTTGAATTGAAAATTTCATTTTTTTAAAGTAATGCATTTTGAGCCGGACTAGATAAGATTTATACACACAAAACCTGACTTGTGACTTCCATGAGATAAGGCAAGTTCAAACCAGACCAGTTTAGACTAGATCATAGTTAAACAGATCAGATCGGATGAGCAAATCTCAGTCCAAGTAAAAACATCCGTACTCCCTCAACTATCCTTTTTCAGACTGGATTTCACAAACTTTTCTTTTTTGTTTGTATAAGCTATAAAACACTTGTCAACAACTTTTCTCAATTACATAATTCTCACTCTCTCCGATTATGAAAGATCTTTACACTTTTCATTTTTGACAGTACCACAATTATCTTTACACTTCTTATTTGCCTTACAAATCTACACCAAACAGTGCCAAACAGTGTTAAACAGTGCCAAACAGTGTCAAACTCCTTAATATTTGTGAAATCAAAGTGTAAAGATTTTTCAGAATCGGGGGAGTATTTTCTTATTTCACTTTAAACATAAAGTTGGTGAAGTCCAATAGAAAGGAGGTAATAGTTTAGTTTTTCACGTTGAATGACAGCTTTTAAGTCCAAGACAAGACAAACCTTATTTTAAGTACTCACTCCCCCATTATAACTTTGTATTTTTGTTTTTTGGATGCTCCAAAAACATCAAAAATGATGTTTGTACACACTCTTATACACACTTTTGTACACACCTATGTCTGTGAAAGCTTTTTTTTTTCTGTGAACATCGATTCACAGACGATGTTTTGCACAAACAAATTATTGTCTATGAACCGGGTTCACAGACAAAAAAAAAACTTCACAAACATGGTGTGTATAAGGTGTGTACAAGTGTGTGTACATCAAGCATGGTTGCAAAAACATTACAATTTTCCTCTTTTGTATAGTTTTTCAATCATACAATTTTTATTAGGGAGTATATTATTTCACAGGAGTCCAGGGGCAGTTTCAAGAATTTTGATTGTCCTGAACTAATGATTAATTATACTAGATTTAAACATTAGAGACTGAATTAAACACGAAAAATGAAAAAAAAAAAAGTACACTAAAAGAATTGAAAAAAATTGAATCACCCTAATGGCCTGTTTGTTTGGGGGTTAACCTAGGTTTTAGTAGGTTCAATTTTTAGTTAACCTCGTTTGTTTGTGTTTTTACAACAAGAATCTAGGTTATGACTTAACTTCACATAATTCCCGAGAACCTCGAAACACCTCAAATTGAAGAACCTCCGAAGTGGGGGTTTTGGGGGTTAAGTTCCCGTTCAACATAAAATAAGCTAGAGTACCTTCATCCAAACAACATTTATGACATTAACTTATTTATTTCCAAGCACTATTTTACGCATGAACCTAGATTTACTCAGCTTAACCTAATTTTTATTAAAATTTAAGCTTACTTTATTGCATTAGGTTTACATGAGTTCATAAAGAGGGCATAAGACCCGCACGGGTAGTTCAATTGGTCGAGTGGTGGGAGATTTGGATTAATGGATAAGGTTCGAATCCCCTCATCGATCGGGTGGAGGTAACAGAACCTGAAATAAGGCTGAGCCTCTGATGCGCACGGGTGTATGAACCTACTGTCATTCTACTTATTGAGTCACTGTGACTAACCTCCACACTATCGTGTCGAGTCGGGGTGAGGCTCCTGGGTGGGAGATTCCACTTTTTTTATGGATCATAAAGAGAGCATAAGTTTCATTCCAGTTCATAAGTACGTACATCCTTCCCTGCGGGAGCACTTAACAAAACTTGCCAGTCAAAACAATGAATAAAAGTGAAAATATGGTTGTCATTTTTAGGAGACGTTGAAAATGGATTACTTTTCAGTCTTCCCGATATGATGATGAATTGACGATTGCTGTTGACAAAACACATTTGACTGTCAATCATCAATATAAAATATGAGAAGAAATGTGCGATGGTAATATGCAGTTAGCTCTCCCAGATGGGACGGGATGTGTTCTCCATCTTCCCCGGCGGCGGCGGTAATGGTTTCAAATCGTCCTCATCAATCCTGTTTAGTCTAATAATAGTAGTCATTATAATTCTCACACATCTGCCCCACCAGGGGAAATCCGTGACCGACCGCGACACCTTATTAAGAGTTAAGCGGCAATGGGGTAACCCGTCTACGCTTCGAGTCTGGAATTCCACCTCCTCCCCATGTAGCTGGCCGGAGATAGAGTGCTCCGGTGACGGATCGGTCACAGGCATCTTTCTCAAGGACTACGACATTGTCTCCGAAATTCCGCCGGAAATCTGCAACCTTAGCAACCTTACCACACTCGACCTTTCCTACAATTACATCCCCGATCAATTTCCCACGTTTTTGTACAATTGCTCCAAGTTGGAGCACTTGGACCTCTCTCAAAACTACTTCGTGGGTGATCTTCCTCACGACATTGACAGGCTACGGAACCTCAGGTACTTGGACCTCAGCGCCAACAATTTCACCGGCGACATCCCACGCTCTGTGGGGAACATCACCGAACTCCGGCAGCTGATGATGTACCAAAATCTGCTCAACGGCACTTTCCCTGTCGAAATTGCCAACTTATCAAATCTGGAACAGTTGCAGATGTCGTACAACAGCTTCTCACCCAGGGAGATCCCGGAGGAGTTTGGCAACTTAAAGAAGCTCACGATCTGCTGGTGGTCCTCCACAAATTTAGTAGGAGAAATTCCAAAAAGCTTTGAGAATTTGTCTAGCCTCGAGCAGCTGGATTTGGTTGGTAACAGTTTACAAGGTCATATCCCAGGCAAATTGTTTTTGCTCCCAAACCTCGCTAAAGTTTACCTGTACAACAACAATCTCTCAGGTTCCATTCCCTCTCGTTTCGCAAAGCCATCAAAACTGGTGGAGGTGGATTTGTCCCATAATAGGTTAACAGGTGAAATCCCGATAGGGTTTGGAGAGTCAGAGGGACTTGAGCTTGTGGCTCTCTTTATGAATCAGTTGTCTGGTGCAATTCCTCCAAACATAGGCCTGATGCCTTCTCTGAAAAATTTCAAGGTTTTTATTAATAATTTGAGTGGGATTCTGCCTCCTCAAATCGGGCTTCATTCCAAGCTCGAAAGCATTGAAGTGTCTGAAAATAGGCTCATAGGAATATTGCCTGATAATTTGTGTGCGGGCAAGGCCCTGGTTGGTATCACAGCATTCAACAACAATTTCACTGGGGGAATCCCTCCATCACTTGAGAGTTGTAACACACTGTTGACTATCCAGCTGTATAACAATGCATTTTCAGGGGAAGTTCCACCCTGGATTTGGACATTGGAAAGCATGATAAGCGTGATGTTGAGCAACAACTCCTTCTCCGGTAAGCTTCCGCATGAAGTGGCTGAGAACTTCACACGGCTAGAGATCAACAACAACCGCTTCTACGGGGAACTCCCTCCCCCAAAAAATTCATCTTCATCACTCCAGGGAATTATTGTGTTTCATGCAAGTAACAATCTATTGTCAGGACATATTCCAGGCGAGTTTACTGCTTTTCCTAAGCTGACTGAGCTAAAGCTCGATGGGAATTCACTTTCTGACGAGCTTCCCGAAAATATCTTGTCATGGGCATCTTTGCATACACTGAGTCTTGCTAGAAACAAGCTTTCTGGCAATATTCCAGCAGCTATTGGCTCTTTGTCCGATCTTGTTGATCTAGACCTATCAGGCAACCAGTTTTTCGGCCCGATTCCGCCAGAATTGGACCGTTTGAGGCTCAATGGGCTTAACCTTTCATCAAACAAACTCTCTGGGAGAATCCCAGCTCGTTTTGATAACTTAGCCTTTGAGAATAGTTTCTTGAGCAACCCTAGTCTGTGCGCTGTGGACCAACTGAGTAGTACACTTCCACGTTGTCATTCAAAAACCACCCACCGCTTCCCATGTAGGGTCATTATTCTCATCACCGTCTTTGGAGTCATTGCTTTTCTAGGCGTTTCATTAATTTTGTTCAAGGTTAGAGACTATTCCAGAAAAAGGCGTGACATCCCAACATGGAAACTAACCTCATACCAAAAATTAGATTTCACTGAAGAGAAAATTCTACGCAATCTGACGGAAAGCAATCTGATTGGGAGTGGTGGCTCTGGAATGGTATACAAAATTTCAACTGGAAAAGAAGGTTCGTGCGTTGCTGTGAAGAGGATCTCGAGTGACGGGAAGTTAGATGATGAGCTTGAGAGGCAGTTTGCTGCTGAGATGGAGATACTTGGCTCAATCAGGCACACAAACATTGTTAAGCTGATGTGTTGCATTTCCAGTGAGAGCTCAAAGCTGGTTGTCTATGAGTATATGGAATATGGGAGTCTTGATACATGGTTGCACAAAAGAAAAAGAGGCTCCCTTGAGAACCTGGGATTGGATTGGCCTAAACGGTTGCAAATCGCCACTGGTGCCGCTCAGGGCCTATGCTATATGCACCATGATTGTGTTCCTCCCATAATGCATCGAGACGTAAAGTCGAGCAACATCTTGTTGGATTCTCAGTTCAACTCTTTCATTGCTGATTTCGGTTTAGCAAAGGTTTTAGCGAAGAAGGGTGAACCGAACACAATGTCTGCCGTTGTTGGATCTTTTGGCTACATTGCACCAGGTATTCTTTGTGATTTCTTTCTTTCTATATATGTGTGTAGTAGTAGTATTAAAAAGTGATGATGATGATGATTCCATAGGCCTTGTTCATTAAATAAATAGTTACTAACGTTTTTGCAATCTTGCAGAGTATGCATACACAACGAGAGTGAACGAGAAGATTGACATCTATAGCTTCGGGGTGGTGTTGCTAGAGCTGGTGACGGGGAGAGAGCCCAAGTTTGTGGACGAGCAAATAAGCCTTGTGGAATGGGCATGGGAGCATTATGCTGCTGAAAAAGCGATTGATGAAGTCTTGGATGAGAAGATCAATGAAGCGTACGAGTTCTTGGAGGATATTAAGACGGTGTTCATGCTCGGGCTGACATGCACTAACAGATTGCCTTCACACAGGCCTTCAATGAGAGATGTTGTGCGTACTCTCCTTCGTTGCAAAACTCTTAATGACTCCAAGAGTAAGAAGGCGGAGGGAAAAAACTACAATGTCGCACATCTTGTTGCCCATGACAGCTTATCAGCTCCTACAACTTACTCCAGGAAGGCAGATGATAATGAAAGTGATGATAGTATACTCTCCATTGTTTAGCACATACTGCAAAACACACACAGAGTGTTATAGTTGGTGCGACAGTCATGTACATATATGATACCTGCAAATGCATAGTATTTATAAAAAACCTTAATGCAATTATATCTACTCAGAAAAATATCAAGGCCCCATTCTTCCGCCTTTATACATACAAATATACAATATATATATATATATATAGAGAGAGAGAGAGAGAGAGGGGGGGGGGGGGGGATTCTCCTGTCCAGCACCTTCCCGTCCGAACGCCGTCCGAACACCGCCGTTTGGGCGGTTCCCGGTGGAATTTTTTGATGATTGTTTTTGAGCATGTTCCTCATCAAGTTTAGTTCCATACCAAAATTCAGCTCAAACTTCGATAGGGAAGACAGTGAAATACTTCGTTGAAGTTAAGTGCGTTTTTCTATGTATAATTTGGCGCAGTTAACTTCAACGAATTATTTGACTTCCTTCCCGACCGAATTTTGAGCTGAAATTTGGTATGGATAAACTAGACTTGATGAGAAACATGCTCATAAAATTTATAAAAAAATTCCACCTAGAACCTCATCAAACGGCGGTGTTCGGCGGCGTTCAGACGGAAAGGTGTTGGACAGGGGAATTCTTCTCTCTCTCTATATAAAGTGAGTTAAGTCTCTTTCCCACTCATATCTAGGGGCATTTAAGTAACTATGTATAATCTTAATAAACACAACATGGTTTTCTTCTTCTGAGCGCATCTTGGATCTATTCTTTTGAGTTTCGACCTCCTCTTCACCACTTCTGTACCTTTCTTTTCCTGTAGCTCCTTTCCTGTTAAATCTGTACCCTCGAGTAGCTTTCATCGGTAGTTAAGTATCCCATCTTCTTATCATCCTTAGAGCTTCTTGGCAGCTTTATGCAAAAGAGGCAAAGTACACTGTAACATCCTTAGAGCTTCTTGGTAGCTTTATGCAAAAGAGGCAAAGTACTCTCAATAAAACTAATGCTGAAAGAAAAGTATTTTTAAAGCATGCAGTGACAAAGTACACTCAACAATAAGGCAGAAAAAAAACATAAAGGTGTGACTGCAATATTTCTCTTCTTTTAGGTGTCCAAGAAGTTCACGCTTATTCTACATTGAAGTTTTAATCAAATCTTCGTAAGAAGTTTTGTCTTCTACTAAAAAAAAATCCCAGAAACTATGTCCTTATAAAATTTTACACAAGTCACACAAAATGGAAGCGTGTATTGCCAATGTGGTGTGAAGTCTCCCCGTGTGTTGTCAAAGACACGGGTCAAAAGTTTTTTGGATGTCAACGATGGAAGGTATGTGAAGCTAACAATATAATTAAAATATAATTTTCTGTCGTGGAATCAATGTGTTGTTAATTTGTAAAGTGTATTGCTAAATCCGTTCTGACCCGTTATCTTAATTAAATTGTGCTAAAAATGTGTTGCTAAAATGTTTTTAATTTGTTAATTAAAATGTAATTTTCTCCTGTTTTGATCATTTATCTTGATTATTTGTTCACACATTTTTTCAATTATTGCAGCCAGGAGGTGGAGGGTGTGGATTCTTTGCTTGGAAAGAGGAAGATGAAATTCAACAAGTAGGAAATCAAAATTTCAACTTGCAGGAGGTTAAAATAGTGCTATATGATTTACGAGAGCAAATAATTCAAACTCGTGGTGAAGTTTCCCATGTAAAAGCAGCCTTGCACTATGAGATTTAAGAAAATAAGAGATTTAGATACTCTATAGGAGCTGTGATAATTTTTGTTGTAGCAATGTGTATCTTCATGTGTGTAGGAGTACAAAGATGGAACTGATGGCATTGTAAACATGTTATGTTTAGTTCTGTAGTTAGCCTTGTTCGCTGTATTCATGAATAAAGGATATTGAATAAACATGTATTGTGTGTTAAACGATTTGTCTTATGTTAAGTTGTGCAGCCATATGTTATGTTTACTTCTGTATTAATGACAACATTGGTGAACTACAACCTGCAGCATGTCTCCCTGTTTTGTTTTTGCCTTCATGGGATCCTTTCTAACATTACTTTAAACACAAAATATATACATGCATAACAATGGGATTTCCACCAGGGTATCCCTCTAGATATAACACCGCCACTTCCCTTTTTAGCATGTGCCATCCATTAGCAGGTAGTAGATTAGTATGCGAATCCTGCACAGAAACGGTTTAACACACATACATGCATACAGTGTGATCCGGAAAGAGCCAGGAGCAGTTTTATATGATGTAGAGGAATAGGGATAGAATAGGGGCATTACATTGCGAGAGGTTCAACAAAATGTATGACATTACATTTCCAGATTAGTGTCATTTTTAGCCATGACCAAAACACATCTAACTGCCCAATCATCACTACAAACATTACATGACAAAAGGGGTATTTAAATCCATGATCATTACACATCTATATTTAACCGTATGAGACTTGAAGTCAATCATATTTCTCCACCTTTGTCAATATAAAAAATGAGTGGTCATTGAGAGAAAAAGCAATTAAAATACAGAGAGGTCAGAAGATACCAATTGAAATAATAATAAGTATAATAAATTATACCAAATAATGAAGAGCAGGTAGGAGAAGTTTAAGGAATGTAGGGTTGTGTTATGATCATGTTAATAAAATCTTCTTTTATTAATAGTAGTATTATTACTATTATCATTATCATTATCATTATTATCATCATCATCATCATCATCATCATCATCACCACCACTACTACTACTATGAATAATCTTGTTAAAACAATCTAATATTACTACTACTATGAATATTTGTGATTACATTTAATTTGAATGTTTCTAATTTCAATATTTAAAATCAAATATAATCATAATCTTTTTATCTCATATAATCTAATTCGAACTAGACTGAAAGGTAAATTTTATCGAACAACAATTAGGCCTGCATTAATGTCACATTCAAAAGATGAGTGTAGCAGAGATGCGTATGTTGCGTTGGATGTGTGGACATACCATAAATGACCGCTTGAGGAATGATATAATTAGACAAAAGGTGGGAGTAACACCTATAGAAGATAAGATGCAAGAGTCTCGTTTGCGGTGGTTTGGGCATGTGCATAGAAGACCGAGTGATGCACCTGTTAGACGACTTGAGGGGTGGGGAGAAGAGGCAGAGAAGAGAGGGAGGGGAAGACCCAAACAGACTTGGTTTAGAAGAATCAGAACTGATATGTGTCTTATTGAGTTGGATGAGAGTATGACTTTGGAGAGAGCAAAGTGGAGGGAGGGTGCACATCCGTGTGGACGATTGATGTCTTTTCTACTTTTTCTCTCTTTTTTCTTTTATCGTTTATCTTCTTTATCTTTTTATATTCTTATGTTATTTTTATCTTCTAACCTTTTAATGTTCTTTTATTTTTTTCTCTTTTCTTTCTTATATTCTTGTTTATTGTTATCTTATATATATTTTACGAAAAGTGATCGTAATAGCTTCCAAAAACAAAATAAGTGAAGATGGGCTTTCTAGAATACTAGAATTGTATGGTGCGTAAGTTCCTCTACTCATTTAAACATTAAAGCCTGATTATAAAGTCTGGTTCTAAGACTTGAATTGTTTCTGGTGCTTACTTGTTTATGAGTTTTCTCAAACAATTTGATATAATATCAATACATCGTTCTCCCCACGCCCCAAAATAATTTGATTTAGCATATCAATAGTGTCAACACAATTTATTTAGGTTTTATTGTATCAATTTTTAATTATATTCTAATTCGAATTTGTGACATTTCAGAACTTTCAAGTAATTTTCGAATATGTAAGTTGTAATCATTAAAACTGATTTAACACTCCGCATGGATGATTTTTATCATCAATTAACCTTAAAATTCGCAAATGACAATTCAACTAGGAATGAATGAAATAAAATACTACGCATTTAATTACTCTCTCCGTCCCGAAATAATTGTCCTACTTTGACCTTCACACATATTAAGAAAATGAAGTTAACTTCACACTGTAGCGACACTGTTTGGCACTGTAGCGACACTGTTTGACACTATAGCGACACTGTTTGGCACTGTAACGACATCGTTTGACACTGTTTTGTATAGATTTGTTTACCAAATAAGAAAAGTTTCAAAGTAGGACATTTATTTTAGAACATCCATTTTGGGAAAGCAGGACATTAATTTCGGGACGGAGGGGTACATATTTACCTCCAATTTTCTTCAAGGAAAGCATTTTTCTATAGTAATGATTGGATGGGCATTTGATTTTCTTTGTTTTGAAAATCAAATAACCTTTATTAAACACCGTGCTTCACCATCTTCCTTGAATTATTCATTTGAATTGAAATTTTTATATTTTGTGTCATGTGTGATGTACTCCTTATATGTCATGTGTGATGGTACTCCCTCGGATTTGACTTCGTCAACTTTCTTTTCCGTTTGTATAAAAATTTGTCACTTTTTTATTTAAAGTAAAGAACTTGTGATCTTGTTTATTTTTGTTTCTTTTGCACAAATCTCAATTACAAAATTCTTTTTTCCTTATTTTACACTCAACAAAAAGTTGGTAAAGCTTAATGAGATGGAGGTAATAAATTAATTTTGGTTCCTATTAACTTTGTCTATCCGTACAAATTTAAACGAAACAATTTTTATTACTACCTCCATCCCGATGTACTTTGCCAAGTGCAAAGTAGGTGAAAAATAAGAAAAGTAAAACTGCGTGGTTGAGATTTGTGAAGAGGAGAGACAAATGTGTAGAACGAAAAATTAGTTGCTTTAATTTGAAAGTTACAAAGTTTTTTGAGATAATCAAAAAGAAAAAGTTGGCAAAGTCCAATGGAAAGGAGAGACTATATTATTTCACCATAGTCAAACTTAACAAACTTGCCAGTCAAGACAAAGAATAAAAGTGATTTTTAATTATATTGTTACTAGGTATCATTTTAGTAGACGTTGACAATGGATAACTTGTCTTTATTATACTCCGTATAAAACATGAGAAGACATGCTAATATGTAATTAGCGCTCTGAGATGGGACGAGATGTGTGCTCCATCTGCCAGGACGGCGCCGCCGCCCATGATTGCAAATCTTCCTCATCACTCCTGTTTAGTCTAACGATAGTCGCTATTATAATCCTCACACATCTGCCCCACCGGGGGAAGTCCGTGACCGACCGCGACACCTTATTAGGAGTTAAGCGACTATGGGGTAACCCGTCTACGCTTCGAGCCTGGAACTCCACCTCCTCTCCATGTAGCTGGCCGGAGATAGAGTGCTCCAGTGACGGATCGGTCACCGGCATCTTTCTCAAGAACTACGACATTGTCTCCGAAATCCTGCCGGAAATATGCAACCTTAGCAACCTCACCACACTCGACCTTTCCTACAATTACATCCCCAACCACTTCCCCACGTTCTTGTACAATTGCTCCAAGTTGGAGCACTTGGACCTCACTCAAAACTTCTTCGTGGGTCCCCTTCCTCACGACATCGACCGGCTACGGAACCTCCGCTACTTGGACCTCAGCGCCAACAATTTCACCGGCGATATCCCACGCTCCGTCGGGAACATCACCGAGCTCCGGCAGCTGATGATGTACCAAAATCAGTTCAACGGGACTTTCCCTGCCGAAATTGCCAACTTATCAAACCTGGAACAGTTGTGGATGTCGTTTAACAACTTCTCACCCAGTGAGATCCCGGAGGAGTTTGGCAACTTAAAGAAGCTTAAGTTCTGCCTTTGGGACTCCACAAATTTAGTCGGAGAAATTCCAAAAAGCTTTGATAATTTGTCTAGCCTCAAGGAACTGGATTTGAATGGTAACGATTTACAAGGTCAAATTCCACGCGGATTGTTCTTGCTCCCAAACGTCACTGTCGTTTCACTGTACAACAACAAACTCTCGGGTTCCATTCCCTCTCGTTTCGCAAAGCTATCAAAACTGGTGATAGTGGATTTGTCCAATAATACGTTAACAGGTGAAATCCCAGGAGGGTTCGGAGAGTTAGAGGGACTTGAGTTTGTGGCTCTCTTTGAGAATCAGTTGTCTGGTGCAATTCCTCCAAACATAGGCCTGATGCCGTCTCTAAAAAATTTGAAGGTTTTCAATAATAATTTGAGTGGGATTCTGCCTCCTCAAATTGGGCTTCATTCCAAACTAGAAACCCTTGAAGTGTCCTCAAATAGGCTCACAGGAAGATTGCCCGAGAATTTGTGTTCCGGCAAGGCGCTGATTGGTATCACAACATTCAACAACAATTTCACGGGGGGGATCCCTCCATCACTTAAGAGTTGTGACACACTGGTGACTATCCAGCTGCATAACAATGCATTTTCAGGGGAAGTTCCACCCTGGATTTGGACATTGGAGAGCATAGAAAGTGTGATGTTGAGCAACAACTCCTTCTCCGGTAAGCTTCCGTATGAGGTGGCTGAGAACTTCACCCGCTTAGAGATCAACAACAACCGCTTCTACGGGGAACTCCCTACCCCCAAAAATTCATCTTCATCACTCCAGGGCATTATTGTGTTTCAAGCAAGTAACAATCTATTGTCGGGACATATTCCAGACGAGTTTACTGCTTTTCCTAAGCTCACTGAGCTAAAGCTCGATGGGAATTCACTTTCTGGCGAGCTTCCAGAAAAGATCTTGTCATGGGCATCTTTGAGTACATTGAATCTTGCTAGAAACCAGCTTTCCGGCAATATTCCAGCAGCTATTAGCTCTTTGCCCGATCTTGTTGATCTAGACCTATCAGGCAACCAGTTTTTCGGCCCAATTCCACAAGAATTGGACCGTTTGAGGCTCAATGGGCTTAACCTTTCATCAAACAACCTCTCTGGGAGAATTCCATCTCGTTTTGATAACTTCGCCTTTAAGAATAGTTTCTTGAGCAACCCTAGCCTGTGCGCTGTGGACCAACTGAGTAGTACACTTCCACGTTGTGATTCAAAAACCACCCGCCGCTTCCCACCTAGAGTCATTATTCTCATCGCAGTATTTGGACTCATTGCTTTTCTAGGTCTTTCATTAATCTTGTTCAAGATCAGAGACTATTCCACGAAGAGGAAGAAAAGGCGTGACACCCCAACATGGAAACTGACCTCATATCAAAAATTAGATTTCACTGAAGAGAAAATTCTATGCAATCTGACGGAAAACAATCTGATTGGGAGTGGTGGCTCCGGAATGGTATACAGAATTTCAACTGGAAAAGAAGGTTTGTGCGTTGCTGTGAAGAGGATCTCGAGTGATGGGAAGTTAGATGATGCGCTTGAGAGGCAGTTTGCTGCTGAGATGGAGATACTCGGCTCAATCAGGCACTCAAACATTGTTAAGCTGATGTGTTGCATTTCCAGTGAGAGCTCAAAGCTGGTTGTCTATGAGTATATGGAATATGGGAGTCTTGATACATGGTTGCACAAAAGAAAAAGAGGCTCCCTTGAGAACCTGGGATTGGATTGGCCTAAACGGTTGCAAATCGCCATTGGTGCCGCTCAGGGCCTATGCTATATGCATCATGATTGTGTTCCTCCCATAATGCATCGAGACGTAAAGTCGAGCAACATCTTGTTGGATTCTCAGTTCAACTCTTCAATTGCTGATTTTGGTTTAGCAAAGGTTTTAGCCAAGAGGGGTGAACTGAACACAATGTCTGTTGTTGCTGGATCTTTTGGCTACATTGCACCAGGTATTCTTCCTGATTTTTTTCTTTCTATATATGTGTGTAGTAGTAGTATTAAATAGTGATGATGATGATTCCATAGGTATTGTTCATTAAATAATTAGTAGTTACTAACATTTTTGCAATCTTGCAGAGTATGCATACACAACGAGAGTGAACGAGAAGATTGACATCTATAGCTTCGGGGTGGTGTTGCTAGAGCTCGTGACAGGGAGAGAGCCCAAGTTTGTGGATGAGCAAATAAGCCTTGTGGAATGGGCATGGGAGCACTATGCTGCTGAAAAGGTGATTGATGAAGTCTTGGATGAGGAGATCAATGAAGCGTATGAGTTCTTGGAGGACATTAAGACGGTATTCATGCTCGGGCTTACATGCACTAGCAGGTTGCCTTCAAACAGGCCTTCCATGAGAGAAGTTGTGCGTACTCTCCTTAGTTGCAGAACTCTTAATGACTCCAAGAGTAAGAAGGCGTCGGGAAAAAACTACAATGTCGCACATCTTGTTGCCCATGACAGCTTATCAACTCCTACAGCTTACTCCAGGAAGGCAGATGATAATGAAAGTGATGATAATATATTCTCTATTGTTTAACACGTACTGCAAAACACACAACAGTTGTAGTTGGTGTAACGGGCGTATACATATCAATACCTACAAATGCATAGTATTTATAAAAAACCTTAATGCAATTATACCTACTCAGAAAAATATTAAGGGCCCATTATTCCGACATTAACGACTCCAACACACTCGGAAAATCCTTCTCAGCCAAAGGAATTAGTTCTCTCTATTTTGTGAATTTGCATTGCCTTCGATTACATTTGAGCAAGTGGCCTTAGCCTTGCTTTGTGAATTTGATAACACTAACAAGGTATTAGTTCTCTCTATATTGTGAATTTGCACGCTTTTTTTTCAACCTTTAAACTTTTATAGTTTCATTTCCTTCTCATTGTTATCTTCATTGGCTATGATTCAATGACTCTCTGATTTGGGTAATTCTTTTCTCCAGTTTATAATTTTATGACATGACTATGATTCAATGTTTGTTTTCAAAATCTATTAAAAAACACTATTGTAAAACTGATTTTCCCTTTTCTATTTTTCAGAAAGGTGAAGATAAAAACAGAAACGAAAGGAAATAAACGTCCAAATGACACCTTACTTGCTCATGCTGAATTATTAACATTACGACTAGGGGTGGGCATAATGGTTCGGGTTGACTGAACCGTACCAAACTGAATTAAACCAAACCGAAACTGAACCATTTGTAATTTGGTTTGAGTTTGGTAGTATTCCTCCCAACCCGTATTAAATCGAACCAAACCGAACCGAAATCATAAAACCGAAAAAAACCCGAATAAAACCGAACTAATCTAAAAATGAAATAATTTCTTATTTTTTTAAAATAACAAATCAAAACCAACTTACACCAAACTAAACCAAACCAAAATATAAGATTTTCTCATTAATTTGATTGATATTAATCTTTTTGAAGCTTTAATTCTTTAATTTTAGTGTCCAGGACTAGAGTTTACTACAAGAGTTACATTCACAACTATAACAATTATAGTGATTTAAGTATATATAGTATTTAACTATAATTTATTATATACTACTACTATATATTTGATTCATTACTTAAAAGCACCAGTTTTGTTTTTGTTTCGGCTTTATATATAATTTGATTCATTCTCGTTGTTGTTCTTGCTTACAAATGTGTCATGCTTATATATTTTTGGTTCATATGTGTCTTGTTACTATTTGCAAATTTATATCTAACATTATATTTGGTTCATTATTATCGCTTCTTTGTTCATTATTTAGAGTTATTTTTTTTAATTTCAATCCAAACCTTAATACTTTGGTAAACCGAACTCCAAACCGAATCATACCAAACTGAAACTAAACTGAAACTTAATCGGTTCGTATTTGGTACATTTTCTATCAAACCGATTAAACCGAAACCGAACCGAAACCGAAGAAAACCGAACCGAAAACCGAAATGCCCACCCCTAATTATGACCATTAAGCTTAGATGTCAGGTTCTGCAAAGAGATGCAAATACCTTTAACTTTCATCAGTAGTTTAGTATCCCAGCTTCTTAACATCCTTAGAGCTTCTTGCTAGCTTTATGCAGAGCATGCAAGAGAGGCAATACACTCAATAAAACTAATCCTGAAAGAAAAGTATTTTCAAAGCATACAGAGGCAGAGTACACTCAATATAATAAGGCAAGAAAGAACAAAATAAAGGTGGAACTGCAATATTTCTCTTCTTTTAGGTGCCCAAGAAGTTCATACTATTCTACATTGAATTTTTAATCAAATCTTCACAAGAAGTTTTGTATTCTGCATCAGTAACTCTTTCTTGTAAGCCTTTGGTGCTTTCTTATGACTATATATGATAGTTTTTACATATTCCTTTTTAAATTTATGGCTTTTGATATTACATGAAAGTGAGAGCTGATAAGTGAAAGTACATTAGTGTGATTTTACTCTTTTATTATGAAAGATGCAATCTGCTCTTAGAGAAGATGCATAACAGAAAGATTTGGTAAGAAGTCATTAAAATGCATGAGATGTTTTAAATTGTCACTATAACACTATTATTTTTGTCTATTATGTGAATTTCAACAGTTTTTATTCAACCTTTAGACTTTTATACTTATTTGTCCTTTCATAATTTTCTTCTTGGGCTATGATTCAATGACTCATTTCATTAATCATTTTCTTCATCTTATGATTTTATGACATGGTCTATTTTATTACTATAAAAAGCCCGTTTGCTATGTAAAATTCACATTGTTTTGTTTTTCTAGCTGGCCTCTTGGAAAACCAACTTTATTCACATAGAAGTACAAAGTGCATTTTTTTCATTCTCTTCAGCTTATATTTATAACTTGGTCTATTTTATTCGATTACAAAGCCTATTTATCAATGGTGTGGTTAGTTTGCTTAAGTAGTCGTCCTGAATCAAAGAATTCCCTATCATATCCTCCCCAACCACACTCCAATTCTTTTTGAAAACACAGAGGAATAACCATCGGGACCAGGGCCTTATCATTCCCAATATCAAAAATTGCATTTTTAATTTCCTTATTAGTGATATGGCATATAAGGCCATCAACCAAGGACGGGTCAAGGCCTCTTCCATGGCTAAAAACCTCGGGTTGTATCGGATCACAAGTAATAGGGGTACCAAACAATGAAGTAAAGAAAGTATCAAACATGTTGGTCACCTCATCCAAAGATTTAGTTAACGTACCATCCTCCAAAGTGAGTGAGGTGATAGCATTTCACGTATTCTTCTTTACTAAGGCATGAAAATATTGGTACCCTTGTCTGCTTTGAGGATATAATTGGATTTGGCCTTTCATTGGTAGGAGGACTCGGCTTCTAAGAGGAAGTTTTTCCTTTTCCTTGCATTTGTGAGTTGGTGCTTAAGGTCCACATCCGAACGGGACAAGAGTGAAAGGCCCTGCACCCTCTTAAATTCCAGTTTTGCTTCCTTTGCCTTGGGTGAGATATGCCCAAATTCCAGTCTATTTAACTTTTTAAGAGGTTGTTTAAGCCTCTTGATTTTTTAGTAAGAATAAATTGCATCGTCCCATCCACTGGTTGAGTCCAAACCTGCTCTAAAACATTTCCAAAGTCTTTGTGGTCTAGTCACATGTTAAAAAAATTATATGGTCTCACTTTCAGAGTAAGGCATTGTCCAAGTGAGACCAATGGAGCCGCATGGTCAAAGTTTGGCTCAATGTTCTCAATGTTTGCCTTGACATGAATACCATTGTGGCTCCAAGTTCCATTAATGAGAATCCAGTCCAATTTAGCCCACAACGGTCCTTTATTCCAAGTGAAAAAGGAGCCAGTCGAAGGGGCATCTTGAAGATCGGCATGCATTTTAAAATCAAGGAGGTCTTTCATAAGGTACGCCGTAGGGGAGGTAGTACCTACCCTTTCCAAGGAGAGACACACACAGTTAAAATCTCCAAGAACTAGCCAAGTACTAGTTATATGGTTACCCAATTGTGCTAAGTGTTCCCAAAGGCCCCTTCATTCAACAACCGTATATAAGGCATAAACAAAAGTCACATAAAAACAAGTTGGGTGGTTTTTTAAATATACTATTGGGTGGTATGCAGATCTTTATGAAAACCCTGGCAAGAAAGACGATAACCATGTGAGATGGAAAGCTCAGACACAATTGATGAAGTGAAGGAAAAGATTCAAATAGCACCAGAACTACAACAATCTTGATCATTCTGGGTGTTGATTCTAACCTTCTTTTACAAGAAAGGAATTGAAAATTGGGACTTTACCCTTTTGAAGGTGCACATAGTGAAATCCGCAAATATCGGGGTTTCTGTGTTTGAGAAATGGATACAAAAGATGATGATGAGATGGGGATCCGACCCACTCACGGGCCACCCACAGGGATAGTTCCCTTACCATTTTGGGACCCTATTGTGAACCAGGATTTGCATTACTCAGGTGTGCTTGATAATCACCTTGATATGGTTCACAAGGTTTCATCTTTCGGCAATGAGGGCTTCACTAGTTCCTCTGGCCTATCTGATTGTCACATAAATTATGACCTTTTTCCTAGTGCAAGGAAGAGAAGACCATCAGATTGTGTTCCTCCTTCAAATGTCAGTAAGAATATTGAGTCAAAAAGACCATTTGGGAGACTACTCAGAACAAGATGAACATAATTCTAGTTTGAGAAGTAAACAAGGGGCAAACAAGTCATTAAGGATTACAATTCCAGGAGTTGACAACCTCCCAAAGAAAATCATGTTAGGGCTAAATGTAGGCAGAATTAGTGAGAAGGGAATTAGTGAAAGAATGAGACTGCTTAATCCAGCAACAAGTTGAGTTTTTGTCAATGAAACTTGCAATTGTGAATCCAGAGATGAACCTTGACATGGAAAGAGTATTATCCAAGGACATTCTTCACGCACACGGCATAAATGGTGGAGCTCATCACGGATTCAACTCATCACATCCTTTCCCTGGTAGGGTATTCCACCGCGAACATATAGCAGTCTCACTAACACAACACCATTTCACACACTACAACAGAACATGTGGGAAAACGATGTTCAGAATACTCTCCAAATGGGATTCTATTCTAATTCTTGTATGAACAATATTGGGATCAAATGTTG